GATCCAGCGCATTAATAGCCTCTCGTGCAAGGGTCTCCAGAGTCTAAGACTAAATTAGGCAATTTTTAATGTTCCCAGAAATCAAGATTTTAAAAGTCAAGATTCCTCATCGCGCCTTAATTTCTCCCTGATCAGTGTTTCATCCTACTCTTTCCATCTTTCTTGGAGAGGCCTGCCCAGGGGTAGCAGAGGCTGTCTGGTCAGTGTAACCTGAGCCCTTTAGGGTCTGACTGAGCTCCTGACAGCCAGGAACCTCTGTGCTGTGCTTTTGATCCCTGGTCTCCTGCCTTTTTCGGAGAAACACTTCCCCCTTCCCTGCTCCCTGACAGTCCCGGGACCCCTGGCCTGTGGCCAGGCCCCTTCTCAGCCAAGATGGACCATCTCAGAACCCCCTCCCCTTCCTGCCACCCACCCACCACCTTTCCTGGGTGCCCTCCCCCCACTCTGGGTGCCCTGGAGGTGGGCCTGCTTCCTGGAAGCTAATCCCCCACCTGTGCTCCATATCCTCTCCCCTCCCACAGCCCAGGCAGCCCGAACAATGCTCTCCCCTCTCTCCCTCCTCGTCCTTCTTCCCCTGGCTCCTTCCCATCCACATGTAGGGATGATGCCGGATTGTTCTCTGAAAAGCTGTCCTGGGTCCTCACGTCCCTGCTGGCAGGGAAGTGCACTTGTTTCTCCACCTCATTTTCACCCCTCCGCCATCTAGTCCCTTCCCTCCGCCCCGCCTGAAACTGCTGGGGTCAATTCCATTTACTTTGGGTCCCATCGTGTCCCCCCAAAAGCTACGTGGACATCCTCAGCTCAGATACCTGTGAATGTGACCTTATTTGGAAATAGGGTCTTTGCAACGAAGATGCAGCCACACTGGAATAGTCTGGGCCCTAAATCCATTTCGACTATTTGTCCTTGCACGAAACGGCACAGACACGCGGAAGGAAGGCCAGGCGGCAGGGCGGGGAGGGTGTATCTCCAAGGCCAGGACCCCAAGGGTTGTGCCAACCCTCGGAAGCTAAGAAGAGGCAAAGCTTCTTTCTGCAGCGCCTTCAGGGAGAACATGGCACCTGCCAGAACCTGCTGCCCACACCGCCATGTTGAACCTCTAGCTCCCAGAAGTAGAGAAGACATGTGAGTTGTTGAAAGTCATTCAGTTTGTGGCATTTTACTTCAGCAGCACTAAGAGCCTGATACACGCAGAATTTCCAGGAGGGTGACCACCTTCATGGTTTCCCCAGAACCGGGGACTCTCAGTGCTAGACCAGGAGCATCTGGGAGGGCAGGATGAGCCTGTCACTGCGGCTTTCTGACAGCAGCTGCCTAGGGCGCTGCCTCATGGGACACGCTGAGGCCACCTCCTGTTGCAAGCTCTCCCCGCTCGCTCCCGCAAGGCCTCGCCTATAACTAGCTGATTCCGTTTGATGGTGGTGAGGAGCCCAGCGAGGCTGTCTGCACCCATGCCGCCACCCTGTCTCTCCTCCATACAGCCAAGATGTGGAATCACACACTGAGTGCCTCCTCCTGCCCTACGCACTGTGCCTCCTCAACGCTACCTCTTGCCGGTGTCTAGAATCACTCAGTTCTTTACATTTCTGCTGCCATCTCTCGTGCGTTCCTTTCTACTGCTCCCTTTGATGCCAGCGGCAGCCTGGAGGGGCCGCCATCTTGCTGCCCTCCAAGCTGAACCCATCCCAATAGTTGGGGAACTTTCCAGGCCATGAGTCGCAGAACCCTCATTCACCACCTTTGTGTCCTCTGCCTGCACCATCCTCTGCAGGGACAGAAGCATCTCGTGACTCACTCAGGTGACACCTGCCAGGACCTGCTGTGTCGCCTTCCTCCCCTCGGGGCTGAGACTATTTCTCCTTTTTCCTCCCCACCTCATCTTTGCGAGTTTCATAGACACCTTTCACCCACTCCCTGGGCCCCAGCTCCAGCACTGCCTTGCCTTCCTCAACCCTCTCCTACAGCCCAGGCTGCTCCTGAGGCACCCAGCAACACCCGGTAGGACTCTTCGAGAATGTTGGTGTAAAATCTTAAAGTACCAAAAACCCTTACTAGGGAAGGCCTTTTCTGTCTGTATCTCCTCCACCTTTGGCACAGACCCTCCTCACCGTGGGCACCTATTAGATGTTCGGTGAGTGTTCATCCAAATTTAAAATATTCAAATTGAAAATATGCTGAGATGCCATTTGGGAGCTCTGAGATTGGCTCAGCTCCCCAAGCCTGACCGTGCATCCTGCTAGAGAGGCTGGGGTCACAGGGACTTGCATCCAGAGCCACGAGGACACAAAGGCTCAACCCCACAAAAGGGAAGCAGGCACCACAGAAGCTTCCGGCCATCCCAAGGACTCTCCCCCAGCACAACGGCAGCCTCGCAAAACTACTGAAAGGTGCGACTCATCGTAACACTATCTGTGATGGCAAACGATGGGAATGACCCCAACCACCCCAGAAGGGTAGAGGGGTGGCCTTGGCTCCTCGGGAGATCAATGTGGCCAGAAACCTGAAAGTCTAGGGAGAAGACTCCAGAGAACATCACAACCTCAAAACGAGCTAGCCAGGGAACGGCCTGCATATTTGACAACCTTTATCTAAGAAAGGAGGGCATGAACATACACGCACATGTATGCATATCTCGGTCTATATCAGAAAGGAGCACACTTCATTCAATACAAGTCAAAGGTTAGCTCAACGCGGATGGGAGAAGGGGGAGCAGATAGCAAGGGACGAAAGCAATTTCTCTGCACACCCCTTTTTATTCATTTGACTTTGAAACACTGTATAATGGTATAATGCAAATTTTAAAATCTCTAAAACTCAAAAGTAAAATGAAACAAAAGAAATCAACTGGGTTTTGTGTTGCTAGCATAATCACATAAAAAGAAGTGACATCAAAGAGCAGTCATTTTGCTTTAATTTCCCAATAAAATATATACTCTAGGGCTACGAGACAAGGAAAATCATCTTGAGGGGTTTTCGATAGTCGAAAGTGACTGGAGTTGCATGAAATGGATATTCTGAAATGATTGTGTATTTCAGGAAAGGACGAAGGAATTCTCATGTCCTGAGGATTCTGCATGTGGAAGAAAAATCCATAGGCCTAAGACGGTGGGGGGAGTGTTAAGAAAGACGCCAGAGTTCCGGAGATGCCCCGGAGTATCTGGAGGAACTCAGAGAGCAGATTTAAAAATGCTTTTCTTCGTTCTGTCTGCAAACATGTAGCTGGGAGAACCCCACTGTCAGCTCCATTAAAGACGGTTAATTCTCAGAGTCTACAATTGGAAACAGGTAGAGGAGTCAGGGGCATCTTGCCCTCCCGGGAGTCAGCACGCACCAAGACAGCTGGCACCGTGGCAAAGCTTTGGAGGCTCCCACCAGCCAGGAATGAGACCACCTCGCTCCTATGAGCAGCAATTGATTGAAATACATCAAGTATTTGCATTTAGGCACTAACAGTGGTCCTAGCAATCAAGGTAAGACTGAAACACAAAAATCAAACAGAGCATCTTATTTGTCGCTTTTGGATAGTGTTAGAACCAACTAACCATTTCCTAACAAAAATAAAAACTAGTAGATGGGAGGGAAGAATTTTCAAATAGCGGATGAGGAACAGTTCCTTGATATATAAACATTCTAGCCATTAAAGGAAGAGAGGAAAATAAAATAGAGAACCCCAGGCCAGCACCCAAACTGGAATCGGTGGTGCGGGCAGGGATCAGCAGCGCCCTGTCTCTGAAAGGAAGGACACGGTCCTGCCCGTGAGATGCAGTGACGAAAGGATTCATCCAGGACCTCAGGAGCCTCTCTATAGCGCGAGGAAGGGCCAGGAAAGCTCAGGACAGAAGAACATTCGAAAGACACCAGTGGGAACCTCTCAAAATCCAGACTACGGGAAACTCGACAGCATCAAGAACTCAGGGTTCCTTTAAAACCCAGTTTGCAAGATGAAGAACAACAGAACAGTGAAAGATGAGCAAGAGCGAAAAGGAAAGCAACCAATCACACGTCTGCAGCTCACGTTAGCTCCGGACTTAGTGTTTACAAGAACAGCCTCAGAGTCTAGGAGACTAAAGGGTCTCGAAATACTCCCTAGACATGGATTTTAGGAAGCTGCTTTGTTTATTTGCTTGGTGTGATAATGGTATTGTGGATCCTTATCTGTGACAGTAGTCATGAACGCAAATATGACAGATAAAAATTATATGTTTTCCTGTGTTTTCTTCCAAGTAATGCATTGGCTATGTTGGTGCGGGGGTGGGGATTGAGTGATAAAAGATGAGTTGTGAATTAATAAAAGTGAGGACGGAGTGTGCCTTAGACTAATTTACTTCTGTTTATAAAGGTTTTCATGATACAGAGTTGAAAAAGTAATAAAACATAAAAGTTTCTATGGAAAGAATTATTAAAATACAAGGTCTGATTGATTTTACGTAGCTTGGTAATGTAAGTGTACGTCCCTTGAAGACAGAGACTCATTTATTTGCCATCTGAATGCTCACAGTGCCTGGGGTGGGAAGAACCCAAATAACTAGATGAGTGAATGACTAGTGGAGGGACAGACATTCTCGTGGGCTAATCCTGCAGATCCACGAGGCAGCTGAGACACTAAACCAACTCTGTCCACCATGCAAGGCCAGACGCAAAGAGTAAGTTCTCTGTGAAGACCAAGGCTTTGCTGGGAAATGCCAAAGTGGAGACTTTTTGGTTTCGTATAATTGATTTTGTTGTTATTTCTGTGGGTTCCACTTTCATTCCCCGCTTTTCGCGCCTGGGGACGGCAGCCCCGGCTCAGGAAGGTGGGATTTTCTATTCCTGAGGACTCTGATCTTGGATTCTTCTTGACAGAGGGATCTGTTTCTGGGTATGAAATTCTTGGATGGAGGAGTTTGCATTCTTGCTCTTATTTTAAAGAGGGTCTCGAGCAAGGAGCCGCTGAGCAACAAGCAACAAGCAGGGCAGCGCCCCCTCCTTGACCACAGCCACCCCCGCCGCCCGCCCCTCACCTTTGTAGGAAACGACCGGGTGCTCCGCGCGCTGGCACTGGGACGCGTCGGGGGCCGGCTGGGCGAGGCCCCAGCACCCCAGGCTGCAGAAGAGCCACGCCAGGAGGCAGGGCCCCTTCATGGCGGCGCAGGCTGGGACTCGGGCTGGTCTTCTAAGCAGAGGCTCGTCTTCCGGTCATGTGGGGAAAGTGCCTGGAACACACTGAAGAGAACACTCAAGTGAGCAGGCGCTCAGCTGTGCTTTTGATGAAGGCTGTCACTCACATAAAAATAAAAGTAAGAAGGCCTAGATAACACCCCTTTTCTCGGTGACATTTCAGGTGCGTGCATGTGTGTTCACCTCCATAGAGACCTCTTTAGCCCCAAAATTTTATGCAATCACCCATTGATTGGAGAAGTTTTCCCATTAGTCTCTACCAAGTCACACCTAAAGAATGAGGCTTGAGAGCTACAGCTATGGATTGGTTTTGCGTCAACCCATCGTCTTGTCCACCATCAAATACAGACTTTATCTGGAAACGCGAGGGGTCCCGTTCCTAAACACACTGCTCAGTAGGGCGCGGTCACTGTCTTTCACGAACAAACCAAATAATGTGATGCAGTCCAACTCTTAAAAATGTCCATATTCCGTGAATTTGTCCTTCGAAATGCACAGGTGACTTGCCTGCAAAACTTCTGTCTAGAGGTCAAGTGTGAATCAGACAAACCCACGCTGGGCACCTACTAGGTGGAACGAAACTACTGTGCTGGGACCTATGAGATTTTCAAGATTATGAATAATTGAAGAAATCAATACATTTTAAATAAGATAGACTTGTAAAAATAACTATAATGCAAGCTGTTAGAAACCATCAAAAGCAGCAGGAGAGGCGCGGGGCTCGGAGAGAACAGCGCCGTTTCAAGGGAACAGGACGGGCCGCAGCCGAGCTCCTCTCTGCGTTCAGCCCTGGAGGACAAAGAGGATTTTAAGGACGGACGGCGGTTCCTGGAAGCACATTCCAGCCCAGGGCAGGGGACCAGAAGACGGGCTGGCCGGGCCTGAGGAAGGCGCCGGCAACCGTTCACTGCACTCGGCCCAGACCCCGGGGGCCGTAACAGGAGCAGCTCAGGGAGCAGGTGGGTTGAGATTTGGGGACAAACTAGACAAAGGCCCAACATCTCTGTGTTAGGCGACAGGCTACCGTATCCGATTATCAGAGGAAACATATCCACGACTGTTCTCAGCACGGCACACACAGGACGCTGGGTGGTGGGCGCACAGGGGTGGAGAAGCCCATTTGACGCGCCAGGGAGTGCTCAGAAGAGACGTAAGAGAAGGGGAGACTTCAGGCAGTGACAGCGGGACTAGAAATTCAGCCCATCAATACAATCACGCAAGGGAGATATGGCTGCTGAAAGGCCTCCCTTTGGAAGGCGGGTCTATGCCCCTCTCTCCAGCGGAGTTGCCAGGTGACAGCGCGGCTCTCCCAGAAACAACAGCAGCGATGGGCGGTGGTTTCCAAGCCCAGACCTGCATCCTCTCTCTCAGGACGAGTTCCCGGGCACTGAGACACCAGGTTGGAAGGGTGACACCTCGGGACAGCCATGTCAGAGACGCCATGGGGGTCCTCCTGGTGACATTTCTCACGAGTCCAGGCTGCCAGCTGTCCCTGCCCAGAACCTGCTATGAGAACAAAGCTGAAATCCACTGGGTGACCAGTAAGTATCCTCAGAGCAGAGCAGGCGCCCAGAGGGCCCTCGCCGATTCCTGCCCCCAGCGGACAGGCATCATAGCGTGGCCGTGACATAACAGACCGGCTATGGTGCAAGCCTGCCCAGTGGGGGAGCAGACAGCAAGGAGGCAAGGATGGACCCGAGGTCAACTACACAGAGACTTCAAGGACACTAACGTTGCTTATTTACGCGCAATAATCCACAGAAAAGTTCTGTTGAGACGAGAATATGAATATTTGCTTTTGTGCATGTTGGGCTTAAAATGATAATAGTGAACAAAGCAGCAGAGTGTTGAGAATCCAGCATCAGTGCTCAGAAGCAAAGAATTCAGAGACAGTGTAGACTATCTGGAAGGATTAAGACCACGAGTTAAGTTTAAGATTCACCAGGGGAAAACACAGCTAAAGAGAAATGTTTGTTCAGATGTTGCTATTTAAAAAGTCACCACACAAAGATGACAGAGGGGGACAGAGAGGGAGTGTCAGCATGGCCATGTGGGGCGCGTTAGGTCCAAGTTTAGGAAGAACACCTTTACACACAAGTCTGGCCACTGGCACCCCCCAGGCAGAGCCGTGACCACTAGCTTTGGTGGTCAGAGCCAATGACCAACCCGGGGGGACAGTTTCAGCAGAACAGGAGACAGATTCCAGGTAACAAGCAACCAAGATGGGGACAATGGAGCCAGAATGGGGGAGACCCCACAGCCCTTGAGTGGGAGGCGGCAGAGAAGATTCAGTGATACCCGATAAGCACTGAAAGGACGAAGTTAGGAACGATCCAGGGTAGAGAAAACATCATTCCCTGTGGCTTCCTGAAGAGAAACAGTGAGTGGAGAAGCGATTGTAGGGGAGGTGTCGGATGGAAGCAGATCCAGAAGACACTGAGGTGGGGAGCCGTTAGGTGATGCAAGGAAGCCCATCTTTCTTGTCCTTCTGACCGGAGACGCAGACGCGAGACGTGGAATTTCATCACGCAGCATCTCCAGCGCAGGGCGAGAGGTGACTTACACGTAATTCAGTTCTGTTCTGACCAAAGAGATCTGCAGTGTCCTCACGCATCCAACTGGGGAAGGCTGCAGGGGGGTTAGCCCAACCTCACAGTACGACAAGTCAGCAGTGGGAAAAGTAACACGGGAAGCTAACGAGAGCAACGATAAGTCCTCGGTGAGAGCTGCTCCGAGGCAGACGTGACACCAGGCGCTCAGCGTGCCGGTCCCCAAGGGGGCCCAGAGCGGCAGTTCTGACTCAGGGACCCCCACAGAGAGGGTCCGAGAGATGGATGGGGACCACCCCGCCGAGCTCCCAGACCCAGCTCATGTCAACCAGGCACCGAGAGCAAATTCTTGTCTTGCACATAGTTTTGCAAAGTGCCAGGCACCAGCCCCCATCAAACCTTCTGTCATCTGTGAAAGGAGGACCCACTGCCACGTGGCATGACCACGCTTTACAATCGCCACCTACTCTCGTCCCAGCCCGATGACTCTGCCTCCGAAGCAGAGGTGGAGAAAGAAAAATAATGCAGGCACCCAAGATAGTCTTTCCCCGGGGGTGGGAGGCAGGGGTGGAAGGAAATGCCGTGTCAAGGAAGAAGATGCTCATAATGGAACGTTGGCTTGTGATGACACGAAATTACACGGTGGCCAGGTTAAGCTAAGGGAAGTGCACTGACTCCTAACAGGTGATTTTCAAGTTTATAATTTTCAGACGATAACATGTTGCCTTTTTTCTTAAAATAAAGCAGCTATAAACAGTCATCAGGTCCGTGCCAGGGCGGACATGCACGTCTTTATTCGAGAGTGGGCTTCTCGGCGCATCCTCCCAGGCGCACAAGCTCCTGGAATAGTCTTTGACTCCAAATAGACTCGGCTCTAAATAGCAGATCCTGCCTCGTGGGAGCGCAACCCCACCTTCCATTGAGCTCCCCATCCCACCCCCGTTAGCGTAGGGGAGGCATACTGATGGCAGGGCTCATAGTGCTTGGTCTCAGCACTGTTGACTTTTGCAGTCAGATCATTCCTTGTTCTAGGAGATGTCTGCGCATTTACCAGCACCCCCCCCCCCCGGGCTCCCGCACATCACACCACCGAGGAAACCCCACCCCACACTGATGCCAACAGAAACTGCCTCCCAACATGGCCAAGCCACTCTGGTTGAGATGCTCTGCTTTGTATTCTCAAAATGCCTCTCCCTCCTTAGAAACACAATAAGCAATCATGACTTGGAGGATTACTTTAAAAATATGCATATATAAATCACCCAACCGAATTTGTATTGAGTTATTTCAGCAAAATTTCAATGAACATGGAAGTCACGTTAATTATCATGGAAAATTATAATTAACCACTTCTGGAAAATTAAAAATATATTGGGGGAACCGATACTAAACAAACAATTTTGCCCATAGGAAGCTCTGTCACAAGAGACCAATCTGAGCTACAAAATAGAAGAACTTAGGTGGTATTGACTTCAAAACCCCTGAAAACTTCCTTTCAGTTTCCTGATGTGGGAGGGTCTCTCCATCAGCACAACAGAAATAAGCAGAACTCTGTGTATAAGTGTCTTTGCAATAAATAACATTCCTGCTCCCACCCGCACCGCCAGTGAATAGGCTTTGGGGAACAGAAATAAACTGTTCCTTTTAGTGAAAAAAAAAATATTGTCAGATAAAAAAGAAATAAAAGAAATAAAAGCTTACACAAGAACTTTTGTTCAGGGAACAACGTCTGGCCCGTCATTAATAACAACAGCTCCCCAGTCGGGTGGCTGTGCCTCTTCACAGGGGAGGCTGGGGCTCTGCTGCGCCTCTGCCCTGCCGGAAGGGTGGAAGTGGGCAAACCTGGGGGCACAGTTCAGAGTTCAAGAAGCCCTCTCTCCCTGCCCTTTCCCTCCCTCCGCCCCTACCTGTGGCCTCCTCCGGACGGGTGCAGGAGAGGCCCTCCGGGGGAGCCAGCGGGGAGCTGTCCTTAGTTTGCAGGACTGAAGCCCAGGCGGCAGGAGGCTGCTGCAAGGAGCCCGTCGTCAGTCATGCAAACTTGTCCGCGGAGCATCAGAAGCGCCAGGCTTTGCAGGAGAAGGGGGCAGCCCTCCGGAGAGACTTTTGTGTTTGAGCTTTTTGTCTCGGGATTTCATCCTCGGGCTCCTGCACCGCTCACCCAGAGACCAGTCTCGGCCTCACTGCAGAGCACGGGGCATCCTTCCACCGCCCAAGCCAGCTGCCGCCTGGTCCCCTCCCCGCACTCCCTGGCACAGCCAAGGGTGGCGTCTCTTGCCCAATTGGCAGCGGCTGCCAGGCAAACAGCCCTGCCCCGTGGAACTCCGCGGAGTTCTCTGCTGTTTCCAAGGAAAACACGCGGCGCGGCAGCCAGCTCTCTGGACAGCACCCCCTCCTCCTGCTGCCAGGGCTTCCCTCTGCCCCCCACCCCCACCGGCCCAGCTGGGGTCCTCAGGGGGCCCTGACACTCATGCTGATGCCACCGCCCCACACCTGTCGGGGCCACCCCCCAGCAAGCCAGGGCTGCCACCCGCTGCTGCTCCCGGGGCGCCCGTCCCGGACACGCTGGCCAGGGAGCCCCGCGGCACCAGACCCGGGCGGCCTCCCGTCAAGGGCTGCACGCCGAGCCCCGCAGCCTGCCCTGTGTCTAAGCCCGAGTCCCCCTTCTTATGCCCAGCGAGCACGGGCTGGCCTCCTAGGTAGGGGCCCAGGCGTATGTTCCCGCCCGCTGAGCCGGGCGGGCACCAACCAGAAACCACGTCACAGTCGCTCTCCCTGGCACCGAGGGCCTCGCCCCTCGCCATGGAGCAGGCACCATGGAGGGGTGGCTTACTCCCCCATGTCAGACAGGAATTGAGTCAAGAACCCCCTGAATGTGAGAGGTAAAAGGGGAGAGCAAAGTCCACAGTGTCTCTCGCTTGGGGTCTTACAGGTGGGTCAGGTGAGGGGAGAACGGCCAACCTGCCCTGGCGCTCTGTGCCCATGCGGACCCGGCACCCCGTGACCACTCGGCTCTCACTGGTGACGCCACTCCGTGACCACAGGACGGACGGACAGACTGACTCATCCCAGGTACACAGCTGTGTCCCCGGAGCCAATCAGGAGGGGAGAAGCCGAAGGATGGAAACAGGATGGGGGACACCACAGGATGTCCGAGGGGACATCACTGACCCACCTGCCGGCAAGGGACCCCCCTCCGACATGGGGAGCAGAAGGACAGAGTCGGGGTGCTCACTGAACATAGTGCGTTGTCAATTTTTACATGTTTCTGAAAAATTTGGGGCTACTTTATATAATTTTAACCCAGCTTAGAATACTCAAGCAAGTAAAAATCTATCTTTTGGTAAGTATCAAATAGACGTTTTGAGTCTTACGTACCCAGAAAAAGGAGGAATTCCCATTTAATGGGGAAAGCAGAGAGAAGTTGGCTTCTGAAGGGGTTCAAGGTACGCTGTTCAAAAGGAGCAGGAGGACCTCCCTGGTTGCCTAGGGGTTGAGTCTCAGGCTGTCGCCGCTATAGCTTGAGTTCGATCCCCGGCCAGGGAGGTGACCCACAAAGTGCAGCAGTTCAGTCCATTCACCTGTTCTGCTCCCCACTCTGTCTCTGGTGAATCCTCTTATCCCCCTGCGCTTCTGGCCTGCACCCCAGCTCTTCCATGCAAAAGGAAAAAAGAAAGGAGCAAGAATAAAAGATGCAGGAGCATCAGCTCCACGGCGTTCCAGGTGGAAGAAGCCCCTCCTCTAAGTCGTTCCCGCTCAGCCCCGACGGCAGCGAGCAGGGAATGGCATTAAATGAAGAATCAATAAAACAATACATTTAAGTCAATGCACGGTGCTCAAGTAAATACACTCTGCTAACCTTTTCTCAAAAACAGCAACCGAACGTTTTATTCCTTAGGAAATGAAGTGAATTAGGGCTTCCTTGTTAACGTCTGAGCGAGGGTGTCCATGGAACAGCTTCCGTCGTCAATTTTTGCCTACATTTCCGCAAAGTGTGGATCCATCTCTTAGTATTTTAACCCAGGTGCCCTGACAGCTAATCTCCAGCCAGAAGAGGTTTAACATCTATGAGCTGGTCAAACATTTTCAACGTGTTAATGAAAACACGGCCTGCCCTGAAGTACAGGCGCTGGGGGTGCCGCCTTCAGGGAGCGAAGGAGCGGTGGGCCTCCCTACTCGCAGAATTTCATCAGATCCCCACCGCGATGAGACGCAATTTTATGGCTGTATAAATGACCTCACGGTATAAAATGGGAAAAAGCAAACATTAAACTATTTTATACATTTCAATAATGGTTCGGCTCCAGTGACCTTCTTTTATATCTCTCTTCAAAGGGAATTGTTATTACACTTTTGCCTTTTTCCCCTTGTTTAGCTCCAGATTGCCTGGAGGAACCATAAAAATAAATGAAGTCCATTAGATAAAATTATTATTTACACAAAGGCGATATTAATTTTATCTGTCAGCAGGTTTTAAAAGGAAGTGAAGTTCAGTCGATCCACTCTTAGGTTAGCTAAGCCAGCAAGAGGCCTTCCGACGACAGACAGAAAGGAAAAACACATCAAGAACGGGTCCCTCCGAGGCAACGGAGCTACAGTGACAGTTTCTAAAGGATTTTCCAGGGCCTCTCCTCAGGCAAACGCGTATGGACAGGGTAGAATAACCACGTTATAAATGACTCTCCCGGGGCGAGATGGCTCTGGATGGCAGGACTTCAGTCAAGAGAGGCAGGACTTGCAGGCGCCTTCCTGCTCTCCCTCCAGAAGGGGGATGGGGAGCGATGTCAACGTGCTACAAGCGTGCGTGCAGGGGGGAGAACAGGCTTCCCGTCCAGTGTATTCTCTAGCCAAGGCCGCCGCTGCCCACAGATGGCCCGACCCCGAGCCAGCCCTGGACGGCTGTGGTGTTTGTGCTCCTGACCCTTTCTCCTGGGAATCCCCAGCACCCCTCTGGCCTGTTTCCCAGACACCCCATCTCTCTGGCTCCTACGGTCTCCAGAGCTCTTACCCCTGCACTCCCCTTTGCAAGAAGGAGCACCCCACACCCCTGAATGTCCATTTCTCCTCAGTCTGCACACTCTCAAACTCACATGAATCCCCATGCTTTGGTGACTCCCAAACCTACACCTCTCCCCGAAACCTGCACGTAAAACCCAGACCCATCAGTCCAAAGACTCACCTTTCTTGGATCAGCCAGGGGCACCTCACTGAAAGGTGGCCTCACCTTCTGCCCTTCCCAACCCTCTGCTCTGCGCCTACTCCCTCCCCGGATCAGCACCCCTGATCGCTCAGACACCCTAATCCAAATCTGAGTCCAAGGACTCCCCACCATTCCTGCTCCTTTGTCTTCCCAAGGCCCGCCGTCACCCTGCCCCACGTCCATCAACTCCTGCCTTGCCCGGAGCTGGAACCACGCCCTCCTCTTCACACTCGCCTGTTCTCCCGCATTGCTAGATTTTGACAGGTTTCCCCAGTTCCAGCCCCCACGCAGAAGCTTCTCCCCTGAACGGCCCACTCTGATTTTCTTTCCACCTTCCCCTCGGCCCCACCTGGCCCACCGTCCATGGACCTTCATATCTACCACAGCCTTGATCGCCTGGACTGCAATCACTGTGCACCTGCTCGTGGTCAGCCAAGACTGAAAATCTCTACTGCTGGATGCAGGACTCGTGTCGACAAACCATCACCACCTCGGAAATGAACTGACGGACAGAACCCATATGCCAACCCGCCTGCGCGTCTCCGTCCTCTTGACGATATTTATGCCTCCATTAAAATGCTGTTCATGCCGCCTTTTCGTCTATGATGCTGCTATTCATTGTCACAGATGTTTTATACCTATATTAAAATTCTCTTAACATCTGGTCCAAAACAAGGATTCTCATGGTTTTGAGAAATGTGCTTTCTAAATGTCATAATTTTCCAATTAATGGTCAAAAGGATGAAGGGATTAGTACAGGCAGACAGGCTCAAAAGAGGAAGTCTCCCGGGCGAGAGCAGAAAGCAGGAGGCGGTTCAAACAATGGATGTGAACCCCCAGGAGTTCGGGGAAGTTATTCTGGAACACTGTGATTCCCTGGAACGTGCCAAGTCAAAAGACACAAAAGGAGGACATTATAATTCATAGCATTCATGGTTTCCTCAAATTCATGATTCTCGTGTGAACATACAAGCATCTGAAATATCACGGATAAATTTATAGAAAATAGATTGCTGGTACACCTGGACGATCAGCACCGAGGTCCTCACTTGGGGCTTGGGGACTCTGCTTGGGATCGACCCTGTGCCTGACCCTTGAGTCCACATGGACGCAGCTGAATCTCTCACCATCTTTCGCCTAGGGAAAAAAATAAAAACGGGTCCCAAGAGGACCGATGGCTATATTTTGGTCAGTCTATCAAACACAAGAATAAGAAATCCTCCCTAAATTAAAAAATACAAGGGTTGCACTCATCAGAGAATCATAAGTAGAAGAAACTGCAAAGGCTAAGTAACGTACCAACACAGCTCTTATTTTCCCGAAATAAACCAGTAAAACCGGCATTATCCTTTCTTCTTACTTTACAGGTGCAGGGACAAGACTCAAAGGGACCCCACAAGCAATAGAAGAACTGAACTGCCAGCAGGTTAGCCCCCGGCTCCCAAGCCCAGGGTGGGAATCACTCAGGTCCATGTCCCATTTAACCCAGTAGGATAGAAGCCCTGGGGGCCCTGAGACTTGGCCTGACTTTGTGGGTGGCCCACGGGCCAGGTCTAGAGACTAGAGTGACTAGAGGACCAGAGTGACCGAAAAGCCACGGTGGAGGCTGGAGCTGGAGGGCAGGGAACGGCAGAAGCCCGCCGCGTCCTCTGGCTGCTGAGCTGCGCTTATGGTGACTCTCAGAAACATCTGCGGAAAACCACCAGTGAGCTCGCGAAGACCAGCTGCCGGGAGCGAGATCAGAAGAAATCAATGAAGACTCTGCATTCGCTGCCACAAGCGTGGCATGATTAGCCCGGGATGCGGGGCCGGGGGAGCAGACGCGCTGCCATCCGTCGCTATTTTATTCTTCGGCGGATTCGCCCCGGCTGGGGAAAGGATGACACCAGCGCCATCCCCGGTGTTCTCACTTCTGGATTGCAAGACCCTGAGAGCTCCATCCTGGTGGATCAGTCCATGAAAGAACAATTCCTAAATGAGTGCAGAAAAGCGACGGCAAACACAGCGGCGGGCAAGGCTCCTCAGCCACGGAGGGGTGACCCAGCGCCCAGGGCACCGGATGGCTGCTTTGGCCTCCGACCCGCCTGCCCGCCAAGCGTG